GCGGTGAGGTTTGGGGAGGCGTGACCACAATCCAGTAGGGATCTCACCGCGGACCCGTCCGCTGGGATGGGTGTTGCCTCCGTTGCGAATGGGATCGAAGGGAGGGACTACTTTGTCGTCAAGGTCGGCGAGGCAGCGGCCGATTGGGAGCCCGGTTGTGAACATGGGAGTTCGTCCCCATGGAGGCGGCGGCCGTGGAGATTGGATGTGAAGCAACCCCACTTGCAGGTGGTGGAGGCTTGCCGTCCATGTGATCCTTTCTTCTCCCGGTATCCCCATTCCTTGCCTCCCATTACAAAAGCGAGCATAAATGAGAGCAGGGGCTGATTTTCATCACTTCATTTCTCATATTTTTAGTTGCTTTTTGAGATTATACAAGATGCTCCCGATCTGTTTTGTCAAATTACTTGGATCGTCTTATGGAATTGTCAGCCATCGCATTTTTCACCTCATGTTATCTCTTAATCCTTGTCCCACTAGGCATCCACTACATGTTTGGTAATGACGTGATGTTGAGGCGGCTAGGAGAAGCTCAGCAGCCAGATCAAGGGCTATCGAGATGGATCTGGGAGCCAAGCAGTAGTTCTTCTGTTAAATTTTGGTTATTATCTTTTCTATTGTTACGATTGTGGGATGGTTGATTTTGACTCGGTGTAACATTTGCATTTGTTTCCCCAGCTTGTTGGCGTAGATGCGTGGCACTGCGGCAACTAATCAAGAACGAGGGCAGTGCACATCAGAGCTACACTGAATGTAGCGAGCCAACCATGAATTGGGTATGTTCACACGAGGGATGGGAGAGGAGAGGAACATTAACATTTTTCATGATTTGGATGAAAATTTCAGTTCATAGTTTCAACGTACGTGGCAACACACTAACGGTACTCATGGGCTTAGGATGAAAGTAGCGCCAGCAGAATCAGTAGGTTGGATGGGAAGGCGGTTGTTGCCCTTGTCCCTTGGTGCTAGCCTACCGTGGTGGCCTCACTAACTTGCTCATTGCGAATACGAGTTCGTGGGGTCGCGAGTTGCTGCAGATTTGTTTTTATCACTTTTTACAATATTTATTGATGTATCCCTAACTCATCGAGTCATTTTTAGCTTTGATTTCCCATATACGCCAGCCTAAATATCCCATGGTCGGAATATTTGCATGGTTAGTGGACATTGTCCCTTTCTTTCTAATGTTTAATATTTATATTGCCGACAGAAATAATTTTATCCGCTTGATTTAGGAAGTGCACATAGGTAGGTCAACATATTTTGTAGCTCTTTCGGATGTAAAAGCATATGTTGCATAAGAAATTATTATCTTCCAAGCATACTCACATTTCACTAACAAATAGGGGGAGGTTCAGACTTCAGAGCAATGATAAAAAGGTTTATTCCTCACTCTTTTGTTGGAATTTTAGTTCCAAGTTAACATGATTTCTTATCCGCTTCATAAGTCATGCATCTGCTTAATTAGGTGATAAGTAGGGCTATTGTGGGGTTTGTTTAAACTCCAGCATAAGGAATTCTGGTTTAAGAAAAAAAGACTTTTGACTTCTTTAATTACAAATTGATTGCAACATCGTGTTAGTATGTGATTTCTCACATCTGGTTGTAATATTTGTGAAGACGTGCATTGCACGTGCACTTGGAAGCGGGCCCGTGGCCCGCGCCGGACGGCGCCGACGCTGACCCGGGCCACCTCCTCCGCGTATTCTTGGAGCTGTGGCTGGCCGATTTACATGAAATTAATTCCCTCAGTTCTGGTGGCAAATATAATACACATAATCCATATTGTTATGCACTAGCGTGTGTGTGTGAAATAGATGGATTATGGTCCCGTACCCAACAAGATGGATACGTGTGTGTGTTAGAGAGAGGGAGAGGGGGAGAGAGAGTGAGGAAGAGGGAGGGAGTGTGTGTGTGTGTGAGGATTTGATGGTAAAAAAGGTCGCTAATGTCGTAATATTGAACTCTTTAAATTAACGTGGCCCCGTTGCAACGCACGGGCGTTCTTCTAGTGTAGTTAGTAACTACCGCTATGCACAAGGTAGTGCAAATGCAAATTCTAATAGTGGCGGCTGTGGCAGTGGGTATGACGCAAATGGTGGTAGCGGTGGTGGCGGCGGCTCTGGGTCTGGGTATGGCGATGCAAGCCTTAATTCTCTTCGTCTTGTTAATCTGAATATGAAGGGGAGCCTTGGCGCAGTGGTAAAGCTGCTGCCTTGTGACCATGAGGTCACGGGTTCAACTCCTGGAAACAACCTCTTACATAAATGTAGCGAAAGGCTGCGTACTGTAAACCCAAAGTGGTCAGACCCTTCCACAGACCCTGCGCAAGCGGGAGCTACATGCACTGGGCTGCCCTTTTTTTTGTTAATCTGAATATGGAGCCCAACCTGTTGCGTGTAATGTCGGTATCATATAATTTTTATTTTCTCCTGTTTGTATATTTTTCCATGCTTTTAGTTCACTATAAATAAAGGGCTTCAATGTTTTGATAAAACGTATCTGTGCAATTGAACTAAAATAACGTATGACTACGTGCTCCCAAGGATGTAAGTTATCTCAGTGGAGGTCACTGTATACCCCTGTTCAAACAATCAAATTTTATGCATGAGTTCCTGGGCATGCAAGCTGGAGTAAAAATTAACTCTCCAGCGGTTAGATCCCATTATTAATTAACCCAAGGCGATCAATTAAGCAAGTTGACGGTCAGATCTATAGCTGGCAGGTTATATACTGTATTAAGAACACCAAAGAAGCCACCTAGTTCGATAAGTAAGTAGAGCATACCTAGACCCATTTGTTCTTACATGCTAGTTTTCTTCATGGTTACTCATATATTGGCCGTGCATGCAATCAGCCAGTCAGCTCAGCTAAAAAATGTGAAACCCTGCAACAAGAAAAACAGAGAATACAGTTAGAGATCAAGATACTTTTCGCTGGTTTGTAGAAACACTGTAATATAATAATCTGGCTGTTAAACTTCTATATTCCACCAACAATGTAAACTGTAACCACACACACACACAAAATTCGCCAGTATGTACATTTATTAAACAGGAAAAAGGACCTAACATGGACGCAGATGCCAATGTGCATGCTACAGAAAACTGAATGTGAGTAGCCTTCAAATGATGTGGATAGCTGAGCAATTACCAATGTCAGTAATATAGCCAGAAACAAATGATTGGAGTGAACTTGAGACAATCTGCTCGAGACACAATTCCTGGTGATGTGCTGCTTGAGGCAATCTGCTTTCGACCAATGGTACTCAAGATGATCTTGCACCGCTCACAGAGAAAAAAATGAACATATGGCTGGCGGTTACAGAGTCTAAAGGGGTGCACAATCTGGGACCTGGGCTGAACCACGATAAACCTTTCTTCTGCTTATCACTTATCAATACAAGTTCCATTTCTCGAGCCGATGTTGAGATCAACATCACATGAAACATTGTTTGCTTGAAATTGTTAGGAGGTAAAGTTAAATGATAAATATAGTTCCAAATGAAGCAACACAAAAGCAGAATTATAATATGTTTCAATACTTAGCCAGAGTCATAATGCAATCTTTCAGTTTAACTAGTGCTCTGAACCCTTGTACAAAATCGGCTGCAACTTGCTAGTCAGCAAGGAGGATGATGTACCTCATTTCATCGTCAGCTAAAACAAAATATAGAAACAGGAAACACATGTATATTCCCTAAATTCTAGTATTAAGAAGATAGGTGATCTCTGAGAAAGAAGATCTGATAAATGGACAAGTTGATTCTTCAATTAAATAAAAAGAGACAAGTGGCAGGTTGAACTGCTAACAAGCATTGAGTATTAAGAAGACAACTCTTGGTAAGGGGGAAAAAGTACATTCTTCAGTTTAAGAAAACAGAGATACGAGTCTGAGCAATTGACAGACATTTCAAACGCTGGCCCAAAGGATTTGTAAGCATCAACATCGACACTGATATTCTGGGTGTTACTCTTGTACTATATACCATCAAAATGTAAACTGTAACCCCACAAACACACACAATTCACTAGTATGTACATTCATCACAGGAAAATAAACTCACACAGACGCGCATACTGCAAAAAACTGAATGTGGGTAGCTGAGCAATCACCAATGGCACATAATACATCCAGAAGCAAACGATTGAACCCCACAAAAAATAGTAATTGGAGGGAGCTTGGTACAATCTGCTTGATACACAATTCCTCATGATCTCCTGCTTGAGGCAATCTGCTTTCAACCAATGGTACTCATGAATCATGATGGTCTTGCACTGCTTACAGATAAAAATGAACATGGCTCGCAGTCCAACGGGGTGCACAATCTTTGACCTGAGCCAGACCATGATAAACCATTCTTTGGTTTATCAGTACATGTTTTCTCAAGCCGATGTTAAGATTGAACATCACATGAAGTGTCGATTACTTGAAATGGATAGCAGCTAAAGTGAAATGATAAATATAGTTCCAAAAGATGCAACACATAAGCAGAATTATATTATGTTTCAATACTTAGCCAGAGTTATAATGCAATCTTACAGTTGAACTAGTGGTCTGAACTCTTGAACAAAATCAGGTGCATCTTGCTATGCATGGTACTCATGGCAACTGCTGATCATTTCAACTTGCTATGCCTATGCTGCTATGCATACCACTTATCCAAATCAGGTGCAACTTGCTATGAATACCACTTACCCAAATGACATATAGTTTTGACATCACCACTCAAGTCAGCCACATCAGCCCAAAAGGATATTCAAAGAAACATAAGGCATCCATGTAGTCAGAGTTTCTTGATCTTAAGTTTTTATACTTCAACAAAGAAGCTAGCAAGCTCATAATGCACCCAGTTCAGCAAAATCCACCTCTGCAGAATCTGCAGCTGAAACGAACTGACCCTCAATACTGCAGCTGATGAGGATACAGAGTGAGGCCATAAGAAGCACCACCACAGCCAACAACCCTCAGATGAAAGGATATGTGTATCCACCACATTATCATCTGATGAAAGGCGAGCCGTTGACAACATAACCCTCCAGTGTTGAAAAGAAGGCATGTGAAACTAGACTTTGTTTCAGTCGAAGTCGAGTAGGACGGAGGCCTTTGCGATGGAAACTGGCAACCAACTGGCCTTCCATGCCAACCTGAAGTAGCCAATCATCAAACTGGAGCAGCACGAGCACATCACTGTCCCATGACGTGACAATCACCTCCCAGTGATGGTCAAACTTTCCACATTGCAAGCTGATCTCCGCAACCGGAAATTCGACCCGGTACTTTAAGGCCCAGATCTCGGCTTCGTAGTCCTGCATCTCCCAGATTTCAATGCTTGTCCCTTCATAATTGAGACTAAACATGCCAAGCATGTCACCCATCTCAAACAGGTCCACGCAGCCATTTACAATCGGACATCGCATCGACCGGAACGACTCAGCAATGGTGTCAAATACCATTATAATGTGGTTCATGTACCAATGCAGGCTACCATGGAACAGGACAGATCCAGCTGAAAGGTATATCAAGAATTCCTGTGTATGAGAGCACCCTATGTACCTTGGCAGCTGGCCGGAGCCTAAAGAGAAGACGTAGGCGCCATCTTGAGCGTCAGGCGCCATCAACCTCCGGAACGGGTGCAGCAGCAATCGGTACTCGCCGGTAGGGCCGTGCCGGTACATCCCCAAGGGCATAAAGCCATTAAGCTGCTGGAGGGGAGCATACTGACGAGTTGCCCGGTTGTAGATGGAGAAGTGCGTGCTGTAGATGGAGAGGAGGAGGAGCCCATCGCAGGAGTCCTGGAGGACGAGGCCGTGGCCGTAAACGCTGCGAATGCCAAGTCGCGCGCTGTACTGGAGCTGGTCGGCCCCTGCCACGTTGTCCAACGGAATGATGTCTAGGGACTCGACGACGTCGCCAGCGCAGTTGTAGCCGTAGAGGAGGGGGAGGGTGGGCTGGCGGGCGTGGTGGGTGAGGAGGAAGTCGCGGGTGGAGGTGGCGCGGCGCCAGGCGGGGCAGACGGCGCGGCAGCGGAGGAGGGATTTGGGGGGCAGGCGGACAAGGATCTCCCAGACCACGACCTCATCCGGGAGGCCAGGGAGGAGATGCGTCGCTGCTGCTCGTGCGGCCGCCGCCATGGTCGCCGGCTGGGAGATCATCCGGCTCTGCTTGTGTGTGTGTGTGTGTGTGTGTGTGTGGTAGTGAGTAGTGACGACGGCGGCGGCGGCGGCGGAGTGTTAGGTTTTCCTTTCTCGTGGAAACGAACAGAAATGCATTTGGGCTGGCTTAATTAGCGTATCTCATTGAGATGAAACGGCTGGGCTGGGCTCAGGTTCCTTTGAAAATAACAAACTTTCTCTCACCAAGGGGTTCTCAAACTTATTTTGCCAATTCTGAAATTTGAACCCTTAAGCTGAAACGTGATATCAACCATCTGCTGATGTCGATCCAATGGTCTGCCTTGCAGAGATTCATGTATACAATAACCCAACTCCAAATATTGTATGCATGGTCCCTTTTGGAACATAATCTTCACCAATGCTTAAGAAAAAAAACAATCCATGGAAGCAGAGTTCATGCCCAGTGACGTGTGTCACTGTGCATAGCCACCACATGGACAATGGGCAGCAACATCCCTGCCTCTTCCTCCCCGCACCCGCCACACCGAAAACGACTTCACGTGTGTTGCTTTGCATGCTGCCAACCCACACTACACCTTCGACTAAGGCAACCGGTAGGCGGTAGCAAAATTATTAGAATGACAGGTACAAAATTTACCAAAAAACATAGTAGAACTAGATTCATAAGGTCACACATGAAACATTGCGCCCTTTCCCTATAAATTATGAGGCACGGCTAGCGCTAGCCCACCAAGGGTCGACTGCTAGCTAAGGGTTAGGTGATCGCAACTTTTTTTTTTCCCTAGCGCATAGCACAATGATGGCATGCCTACTTAGAGCTACTGAGCAATTTATGGTTGGGGAGGGGGGAAGGGGGAGGAGGAAGAAAACAAGATGCACAGATAGATACATAGCAACCATAAATGGTATTGCTGAATAAAAAATATATCATGTTCTATAGATTATTATTTTCAAATTTATAAGAGTCCTAAGAAAATACTTTATTCAAAAGTATTTTCAAAACAATATGTTTTAGCATATACAAAAAAATATCCAGTGTCAAATAAAATGTTCGTGAAAAAACACAAAGATATTTCAGTAAATAAAGTGTTTTGTAGTACGTAACTATTTTCTATCTTTATATGTTCAAAATATCTTAACTATGATTTTTCTTTCAATATGAATGATCTGCATCTTCTGTACTCTTAACTATGATTTTTGGCATGCATGTGACAAAGATATTTTCAATATGATTTTGTTTCTTATAAAAATATTCATATGTTCAAAACAAAATATCGGTATGTCAAATAAATTATTTGCACAACTTAAAAAAAATTGCGGACTAAAGAAACACTCCGCGCCATGTATGCCAAGTAAAGTGTTCATGCAACTTCTAAAATATGTGTTGGCACATATGTGAATAATATGTTATTTTGTGCCGACAAAAATGGTCTTCTGTATCTATAAAAGGTTTATGCAACTTCCAAAATTATTGCAACACATAAAGTCTTACACATGATTTTTTTTTTCTTCTTCAAGTATTGTAAATCATCGGACTCTACTGCAGAAAAAAGTTTGGCAAATCATCAAAAAATTATCATTGCACGACAAACATGACAAAGTTGTTTGTGTTAAAATTATTTTACTTTCAAAAAATATATTACTTGAACATTTCATAGAACATCATCAACAGACTATATATGTACTGGTGGAACACATGAAATTTAAAAGAAAAAATAAGTAAAAGGGGAAAGAAGAAAGAAAATAGAGAAAATGGAAAATATAAACTGAAAAGAGAAGACATAAAAGTAAAACACAAATACTGGCAAGAGCAAACAACAAGAGAATCATTCTCTGGATAGAGGTGGTTGGTTTCAAGATGGCAACGGGAACGAAACCCACCGAGTATTGCTTGCCCAAATCCATCCCCGCGAGAAAATCGCAAGCCCGTCTCCCTGTCTCCATCACCGTACGCGGGGCTAGTTTTTTGCTCGTCCCCTAAACCCGTTGGGTTTTCTAAACCCACGGGGAAACTCGTCCCCATGAGCAGTCAATGAAAACAACAACATTGGAAAGAAAAACAGGTGCATATTACGGCAGCAAAAATCAGCATATTTAAGCAACAAACATAGTATACTTCAGCAGCAAAAATCAGCATATTTAAGCAACAAACATAGGAAACTTCGTGCGCAGTTTTGTACTCTGCTCACTACTCAGGGTAATATGCATAGGTTACACTCTTCAGTGGTGTCTAAATAAGGAGAAGGCTACTAGTTTGATTATGCATAATTTGACTGTAATGGCTGACCAAATAATTATGAAGGAATTGCCCGTCTAGCTTGCTCATCTTCATGTATATTTGTACTGCAGGAGGACAGGAGCCTCTCAACTCCAGCAAGAGCAGCTCGGCAGAAACAACTGTTGCTTATGATCTACAGAAACACAAGAGGCAGGCCGTCCCTGTTCATCGTATCTTAGCGGACCAACCTTTTTGAAGGCAGAAACAATCTTCACCATCCATTCATTTCTTATTTACTCCTAATAACACGCTTCAAACCAGCATTGCAATGGCCTTGAGTAGATGCAAGAGATCACCCAGCAATCAAACATCACAGGTGGTAAAGTTACAACAAACTTCTTTTTCACTTCTTTATTACTTGCTCATTTATCTTACTTAGGTTTTATGACTTCTTTGCTGGATCTAAGTGCCCCCACAGGACAACAGAAACCATTACATATCTACTACCAGGTCATCCAAGGCAGCCTCGCTGGGACTTCAGATCTTCACCTCTCGCACGTCATTTTGCCCGAAAGGGGTGCCGCAAGCCGGGCACTTCCGGTGGCGCAGCTCAAGGTTCCTCTGGATACATGTCGAGCAGAACAGGTGGAAGCATTTGGTGATCACAACCTGCCAACAACCAACAAGCAAGGAACATCAGCAGTAGGTGGGGCTTAACACACAGAAACTGGAACTTTGGTGACATGGGAACAGAAATAAACGTAGATCTCAGCTTCCAAAATCTCGAGTCACTGCACAAATCCGCATAATTCAAACATAAGCTGTGCAGTTCAATGAACAGTGAGTTATTACCTCTTTGGGCCGGTCAAAGCACACGCCACACTTGAGAATAGCCTTGCAGTCTTTTATCTCGTCCTGGAGCTTCTGGATAGTAGCCTCTTCGTTCTCGGAGGTCAGCTCCATGACTTCATTCTTCACCTCCTCGTATTCTTCCTCGAGCTTTCTCTTCTCACCTCTATAAGATAGCAAAAGAATGTAACAAGCCCTGGTGGCAGAACAGCAAGACCAACTTGGAACCAAAATTTAACTCCACACATGCAAGCCTAACCTCTCACGCTCCAGCTCCGTTCTGAGCTCAGCGATTTTTTTCTGGTTTTGCTCATATTCTTTCTCAGAGGATCCAACGGCGGACCGAAGCCACTTGAGCTCCTTCTCTGCTTCAGATACCTCCAGCAGAGTCTTTTCAATGGTAATTGCATGATGCCTGTTCTCTGAAGAAGCTTTTATAGCTTGTGCGACATAGGCTTTCATCTGTAAGGTTTATTCAAATAAAGACACTTCAAAATGAGCTTAGTGGTAAACACAGACACACACAGAATATATTTTTTAATACAATAAATATCCGCTTTGACGTGATTTTCAATTAATGTTGGCAGACAGCAAACTGAACCATAAATAACACACAGGGCATGAGTCAGAGATTACCTGCTCTTCACCACGGGAGAGTTTTTGTTTAGATGACTCTGATGGAGTTGCTTCTGTAACAAATGCTTTTCAGAGAGAAGGGAAGCAGAGGCTTGCTTTGTCTTCACACTATCTGATACTAGCTGTTCGATGAGAAACAAGTTACTGATGGAACCAATAAGAAAAACAAACAGTGTTTCTTCTGGCAATTCAACGGAGTATAAATGATATGGGATTAAAGTGCCTGGTTAATAAGGCGATAAGGCAAGGTGATGCACTGGACTACTGCCCCAGCATCTGAAGTGCTAGAGACGTGCTGCAAGGCCACACTATATGAATCAACAAGTAGCAGCAACTGGAGTAAGTAGCTCAAAGATAGAGATGGAAAACGGAAAAGAGAGATACCCCAGGCCCCCTAGCCCAACAGCCGCAGCTGTCACCATGCTTGTGCACATGGAGCATGTAACAGGATCCTAGCGGTGTGTTGCTATATTGAGGGGAGTGCCATGCCGACAACAAAGGGGAAACGCCCGTGAGACAGAAGCACGGATTCCACCACAGAAAGCCCAGCAAGCTGGCAGCGAAGATCTGCCCTGGTATCAGATACGCACCTTTATGTTAAAATCATCTCTGTCGGCAACCTGTTGAAGAAGATGCTGGTTTTGTGTCTGCATGTCTTCATATGCTTGACCAATTGTCTGCAGTGATAGCATCATTTGCTTTCAAACACACTCCCACACACACAAAAAAACACTGCTCATAAGAAAACTAAAAATAAGCTAACCTCAATTTCAGAGATATAAGCATCTCCTTCTGCTTCTTTAATTCTTATTGCCTCCTTGAGTTCCAGAACATCTCTGCAAAACAGATCATACAAGGGATGAAGCTGCAGAGATGATACAGAATACCAAGTCCTCATTGAACAATAAAATATCTACTGGTTCACAAACATAACATATGCTGCCAGCTGTAGGAAAATATAAAAGCTCGTTTAAATTACTGATCACTAGAACTAGTTGGATAATACTTGATAGCAAGATGAGGATTATTGAGTTCGAATTAGGTTTTAACCTAGTTGGCCAAAAAGGACAGTAAGGCACAAAATATATGTATTACTAGCAGGTGCAGGAGTTAAACTGGAACCTAGCCAGTTCTGATTTCACCTGGGCTGGTTAACGTCTGCAAAAAAAAAGTCCAGTTTGTTTGTGCATTTTGAGCCTATGAGTTTATTAAGAATTTAGTAAATGGAATTTAGGAACAAGGTGTATATGCTCGGATTTCCAATGGAAGTTGTGATCAAGTATGGGGGGTTAAGGGAGTGTATTGGCCATTGAGCGGCAAAATGGGCGGTTTTGAATTGAAACCTATAAAGGACTATGTTAACCGCTATTAAATAGTACTCCTCCATACGGAATTGATTGATGCTCAAACGGATGTATCTAGACTTATTTCGATGCTAGATACATCCGTTTGAACGTCAACTAATTCCGGGCGGAGGAAGTATGTATTTAACACACAGAACATCTTTCACACCATCAATAGCAGCAACCAGGATGAAACAACTGCAATAATTAAGATCCTGATCCCCTCAATGGAAAACTCGTTTGAAATAGCAATCCAAGTAAACTGGAGAACTATTTCAATCCCAGTAAACTGGAGAACAGATATCGAATTGTCACTAGGAGAAGATAACTGACCTTTCAGATGCATCTACATTGGTCCTTAACTCTTCCAGTTCTGCTTCAGCAATGCAAAGCCTTCGCTGGCATGCAGCTTCGGCTTCATTTGCTGCTTTTACACGAAGCTCAAGACTATGCTCCTCTAGACTAGTTCTCAAATATTCAGCCTGCTTGCGAGCTCGATTTTCTGATTCCTTGATCTCTGTAATTGTCCTAGATTCACAGTAGAGTAAAATAAGAATCTAACGAATGAAGCAAAATATATTAGTATGTAAAATTGATGAAAGCTGTGAATTGACTATCATTCTATCGATCGTTTTCGAAGGGGAAATCAATGGTAATGGAGGAAAGAGTAGAGGTAACCAACCTATGTTTATTTTTTTTCATTTTTTGAGTTCTTAGTTTATACTCCCTCCGTTCCTTTATATAAGGTGTATTTGTTTTTTGATAAAATTCCACAATGTAAGGTGCACTTGTTCTAATTCCTCGTAATTCCTATCTTGGCCCTCCAGAGAAAGGAAAGTATCTGTCCCCTGATTGCATGTATCTCTCCTTGTAGAGAAACAAAAGGAAACTATCTCTCTCCTGATTGTGTGTATCTCTTCTTTTCCTAGCCTAAATGATTTATTGCCGCTAATCTATGAATTAGACAAGGGTAATTTCGTCCTAAATAGTACATAATTATGTGCCTTGGTTAACGTGCTGAAAATAATACACCTTAGATATTGGAATGGAGGGAGTATGATTTAAACTAGTATATTTTTCTTTCGGCATTAATAAATGTCACATAGCACCTAGGTCAGCTAGTGTTAGCAGATTGCATCAAATTAAAACTGGATTGCCTAGCTCTTTCCATCAGTTTGGACTTTTCGTTGCGTTGACTAGTGCATGAAGCTTAACATGGTATCGGAGCCTAAGGTCTCGAGTTCAAGTCCTGGCTTTAACAATTTACCCAAAAATTGCTGGTGCCTCCCTCTGTGTCCACGAATAGGCCTCTTGAGCCATACCTCTCAGCCTATTCATGTGTTGACTTCCCGTGTCACACGTGAGAGGGGGTGTTGAATTGTATATGTGGATTGCCTAGCCCTTTCCATCAGTTCGGACTTTTAGTTGCATTGGCTGCATGAAGCTTAACAATCACATGTTTTAACAACTTGATAGATTTAACTGACTACAAATTTTCATATGTGAAGTATATAGCTGAAATTGAGGATTATAGTAAAGATGGACTTCTTTCAGGCATACAGCAGAACATGTTTATTCAGAAGAAAAAAATGCATTGAATGATAGAACTTTAAGAATCATAAAGGGATGTAAGTAGAAAACATTTTCAAACAGAGAATTTCAAGATCTGGTGGAGGACTACGAGATCATCTAAGAGAATAGCATAAGTCACAATCATCAAAAATCAACACAACTGATAAGTGATAACGACTCAGAACATTCTTTCCCATACATATCCACAATAAATTCCAACTCCTGATTTTCCTTTTCCAACGTCTCAATCTGTTGAAATTTCATTCAGAAAACATTAGAATGGCAATCCTGACACAGTGCAAAGTTGCAAGAGCTTGGCTCCGGACCATCGAAGGGCAATACTTCCTTGTTTTTCTTCAGAAAATGGAAGATCTTTATATTTAGGCTCATATATGTAACTTTTCTTAGTTGCATATTCACTACCAGAGTTTGTTTGCCCATAATTTAAGGGCCCATACTGTTAGTTGCATATTCACTACCAGATATTTGTTTGCCCACAGTTGGAAAATAACAACAATTTCAGGTAGTTAGTTGCAAAAGCTGAATATACACCAATGCTTGAAAGACTAAGAACTAACTGTTAATCCATAATATATTTTCAGAAACCAGGTATCAAGCAAGGACTAATCTTGACAGATCTAACCTTATTTAATGACAAGTAGAGATAACCTAATGGTGCATGCTATCTCTTCTTAAAGAATGGCTTTGTTACAGAGAGCAAAGACTAAATCTTCACAGGTAGCATGTACCCTAACGGGCATAGAGATAGCAAGGACTAATCTTGACGGATCTAACCTTATTTGATCATATCTCGCCCTAACGTTACTAATTTTATATTTCCTTATATATAATTGGCTTAAGGCCCAAGGCTACTTGCTCTCCAAGTTGCTCCTTTGGCCAGTTATGAGGTGAGTCTACGCTAATAAGTAATAACAAATCAGATATAATTGCTTGTGTAATAACTTGAAAATTTCTCCGAGCTGAGAGAACCATGGTGGAGGGAAAAGCAAACACTTTCAGAGAACGCAAATATATCTCAGGCTGTCAGCACAATTAGAAGACGAGAGATTTTCATGATACCATACCAATTCTTTGAGGGACTTGATCTCAGAGACTTGTGTGTTGTATCTATCAGATATTTCCTTCTGTTCACTGATCTGAAAATTGGAGATACTTCCATCAGATGTTTCGATTATGCTAGAGGTCTATTCACAATTTCTCAGGTATAGTTCAGAAGATAAAACTCTACGGAAATAGTTTGTGAATAATATTGTTTGAAGATCTAACAATGATCCTAAAAACATGTAACAATGCAAGCATATAACAGCATCAAAGTACACATGAGTATACCCGAGAGTATTGAGTTAATCCTATTTTTGTAAATAATCACCCAGCTTTAATAAAGCAGAGACAGCCTGAAGATAATATAGCCTTTCTCTTCACTTCTCATTTTGGAGATCAGACACGGTCTCTGATATAAATAATTAACTATAACTTTTCATATACTTTTGAGATAAAATATTCAGGAAAATGACATAGAATAAATTTTATGACAAAAAAAATTTTGAATGACAAACATAAACACTTCTGCATACTATATTGGGGAAAGTAAACGTACATACAGAGGTGGTTGCTTGAGCTAGGTTTTAGATACTTGTGCATCTGGAAAACTTCTCAAAAAAGTCACATATGTGCATCTGTTAGAACATGCTATATTTTAGATTTGGTTGGCTTAAATTGAGATGGTTATGTGCTAGCAGTCGACTATTTAAGTGATGACTTTGCTTCTTTGTAGAAGGTGATCAGTAAACAAACTTCCCTTGACCAGCTATTCTAGTGTTACTACCCCAACTGGTCACCCCTTCAATCTAATGTCGTTCTACCTTAATCCATCTTATTCCATTTCCAACTCTTTGTTCAACTCGGTTCATGACACGGTAAGAATGGACTAGTTCAGGTATGTGGTGCTTGCTCTTTGTACTTAATCTATATGTCAGATATATGAATGCAGAAAATATCCTATCAGATAAAATCAATGCAAAGTGAGTAAATATGTACAGGAATCACGATGAAGAAACATAAATGATTTATTTTTCATTACACACTGTGTGGCAATCTCACTACCACGTACAAACATGTTAAGTTTCAGTGACATTAACCGACAGGCAACAGATGGAGACTGAGATCCAGTCTGGAAACATCGATAGATCCAGATCAATGACATACCTTCTTAGCTAACAAGGTTCTCAACGATTCAGCTTCTTCACGTAATGCAAGTGCTTCAGAAGCCGCATCCTTTGATCTATTCAATTGATTCTCCATCATTTCCATCTCTTTGGAGAGTGCTGCAGCCATGACATGAATCTCATCCTTGAAGTCTTTTTTACCTAGACAGTGGTGGAATTGAGAACAAAGTATATTACACTGCAGAAGGAGGTTAACCCAGATCTCGATTTAGCAAGCCACTAAGTCAGGCCTCAATACCTGAATCCTGCAATGATTCCTCAACTTTGATCTCAAGATCATTCTTCTCAGCCATGGATTTTAGAATCTGATGTTCCAGTTCTTCGATTTTGGCCTCATAATCGGTAATGGATTGTTTAATATTGTTGACGGATTCTCCTTTTGCACACATTTCTTTCTCCCTTTGCAAGAACTGGTTCTTATCATTCTAAAGTCAAAGAAAGTAAAAGCTCGTCAAGAGAAAATACCTTGCAAAACAACAGCACAACAGAGGAAAAGCATATTACCTGCAATACTTCAACCAAACCCTTGTATCGTTCTATCTCAGCATTCAGATGATGTAACTGATCGCTAAGAATTGTATATGGTTTTGATGTGAAAATATAGTTATCGTCTTTTAATTGACCCTGCACACATAACACCAGAATGCAAATTATAGGAATAAGAAGACCCAGGATACAACTTGAAAGTACAACAAATATGTCAACCATCCATTACAAAGAAGGTGCCAACCTGCAGATCTTCTAACTGCTTAGACAGTATTAGATTATCCTCTTGAGTCTCATGGAGTTCAAACAGGCGGTCTCCTGCAAGGGTCTGCCCTCCATTGGACAAATTATACTATAAGATGAATGCTGAGCAGATGAGGCATATAAAAAGCATATATGCAATGGAATTCGGTCTGGTTAAATGTACCTTAGCTTCTTCAACAGCATCTTTGAGATCTCCCCAGCCCATGTTTCTGTCTGAAGATTTATCAGCCGAAACAGCACCATTCACAGCGTTTGGACCAGACATGTTCATTAGTGAACCTCCATGCCTCTGCAACTGGAGAATAACCAACTTCCGTCGACTTTCCTCAAGCTCCGCCATGGTTTCCTCTAGCTCTCCTGCATAAGCACATGAATATGGATTGCTTTGCTTTAGAATCAAAGCTTGACCAGTTTTATAGCTCAAAATTTGGAAGCACAGAACAAGATAAGTTTTTTTTATTTTTATTTGGCAAGGGTCTGTTAACATATCTTAGTACATTTCTTCCAGTTGTATTGGCAGCAAGTTTTAGTACAATTAATGCCACAAATTATTTCCGTATGAAATATGCAAACTGTGATGCAAAGCCAAGCTTGTTGTGAAAAGGGGCAGCTTTAGAAAAAAGGGACCAGCCAGGACTAGTCCTTGGTGGCATTTTTTAATAGAAGAGGTAACCTTGAGCATCACGCGTGGGCTGGCTGTGCATTTGCGCGCCTTGCCAACAGAAGAGTTCTTTAGTCTAAAAAAGGGGGGCGGGGGGCAACTTTTAATCATCCAGATGACAGAAGGAAATGGTATGTTTTAAAATTAAGCCAAAGGCATTCGTGTATTGTTACCTGATTCGCGATTTGCTATTCGGCTGCACGATTAGCTACCTCAGCCCGTATCGGGTTCAATGGGTGTTGTACATCTCTGATTCGCGAATCGGAGATCGGGTTTGGCAAACCAGAGATTGGGGTTCAGCGAATCGAAGGCCGGGTTCGGTAAATCAGAGATCGGGGTTTGGCGAATCGAAGGTCGGGTTCGGAAAATCAGGGATTGGGGTTTGGCGAATCGAAGGTCGGGTTCGTCAAATCAGAGATCGGGGTTCCGCAAATCAGAGATCAGGGTTCGGCAAATCGGAGGTTAGGGTTTGTGAACACTAGATCTTTAGGCACAAACACTAAAGTAGCACATGGTTCTGTAGCCAGAAGCATTGGAAAATAGGCAAAGCAAGAAACGGGCCTAGTCAGCCCACACAGCCCATAAACGATCCTGGGTCCCAACTACCAACTCGCACCCCTAATAAGCATCGTGACCGCCTACCCTGCCGAGCATGGAACGCCACCCCTCCAGTTTCTTTGATCTGCTTGCAAAAAGCTTTCCTTAGGGATTCTATCGACTCCATCTTCCTCACCTCATCCACACATGGTTCACGGCTATGGCTGCAGCCGCAGCCCACACCATGCCAACCTACTCGAGAGCACCCAATGGTGACGTTCAACTCGATCTACTCGACATGAGATAGCTGCATGGCAATTCCTTCCATTTTCCTCTCAATCTCCTTGGATGGAATCTAATGGTCCACCTGAACGATCGGTCAGCGCATCCTTACCGATTGGCACCAAACTCGAACCCCAATCTCGGGTTCAGAGGGTAGTTTATTCAATCTGGTAACTACGGAGAAGATAATAACTCTGAATGCCCAGATATGCACACGAGACAAAATTTAACAAATATATCAAAATGAGGAAAGGAATGACAGTTTTTTAACACCTGAAAGATGCTTGATTTCCTGCAGTTCTTTTGAGTAGCTGCTTTTGAAAGTCTCAATCTCATCCAGATACCTTTTATGCTTCTCATTGACGATAGAAATAGCTTCACGGACATTGCCAACCACCTCTTTCAAGTGATCATTGTGGTTTTGAAGGGCAACAACAACATCTAAATTAAATAATGAAAGTTCAAGCAGATGGGTAGTTAGCAAATAATAAAGGTGCACTGAAAAAAATGGAGGGAAAAAGGCAGATATTACTTTTTGTCTTTACCTTCATTTGACTTCTCTGCATTTAAAGCTGATGACAAATATTCACTTCTAGCCTGTTGTGCAGCAATAGCCTCTTGAAGGGACCTCATCAGAGCAAGAGTTGCCGAACGACGCAAAGCAAGAGCTTCTTCAGCAAATTCCAACCAGCTATTGTCACCCTTTTTTCCATAATTGTTGGACTTCAAGAGCATGAAGAGAAAAACTTCCTCAGAAGGACATGACTCGATAGATTCTGAGCAACAAAAAAGAACACACAATCAGCTAAGGCAACATCGCTACTAAAACAAAAAAGCACATCTCAGAAAGCAACATTGAACAGTTAAAGAAATAAGCCAGCAACCTTCTGACAACTCTTCATGGTCAAGTGCAGGCAAATTGTTCAAACCGCCACCAAATCGAACTCCAAGCAGGATTAAATCATCAACAAGCTATAATTAACATATATTATAAGAAGCATTACGAACCGGAAAAGAACCATAAAACATAGTTTTCACGACTCGGAGGAAAGAACCTGATTCCACATCTTATCCAGGGAAATCAGAGTATTGTCATAAGAAGATTGTTCATTCCTCAACTCCTTGAACTTAGATTCCAACGCATGCATTTCAGACTTCTGTGCTTCCAATTGCTGCACCAACTTCTGGTTTTCATGATGAAGGGCTGTGGCATCCATCTTTAAAAAAAACAGAAAGTTAAGTCCTACAACCAAACTAATTGACCAATCTTATAGAGGCAAGTATTCAGTCAGTCTTGTTGGTCTGCTAAAATTTCGAACCAGATTGTAAGTTGTAACACAAATTTAACTTCTAAATGTACTAAATAACTTCAAAATCAAAATGTATTAAAGTTAGAAAAGAAACAGATATGTTAAACTGGGAACAGTGGGCGAGCCTCCGACAGATCAAAATTAATAATGCACAGAGAAATAGAGGTAGTATGCCTGATCACAGTTTTATTTAATAAGCTTTTGCTATGCATACTATGCTATTATCTTGACTAATGTTTTGCTCCATTCGAGTTTGAGGAACTGTGGATAGTATCATTGAGACCATGGTATGATGCTCGGTTATTGGAGACAACAATTCAAGCAGCCATTTAATAGCATATAATGGATTAATGGAAAAAAGCTTTGGATTCAGGGAACCAGTTATTGGAGACAAGAACCGGAGCAGCCATTTAATTGCATAATGGATTAATAGACAAAGCTCTGAATTTAAGTGTTCCCTAAAATTTTCCACTGGGACAGGCAGTATGGTGAATGGCAGCATCCAAAAACTAGTGGAACTAAAACCATGACGAGTAATTTGGAACGGAGGGAGTAACATATATTTCCATGAATTGGGGGCAAAGGCGAGCAGAAACTTGAATGGACAGGCGTGGGGGAGAGGGGCCCGGTAGCAGAAGCGGGGAGCAGCAGAAGGGGGTGCGGGTGGGGGTGGCG